GACGTAGAAAACAAGAATATTTTCATTAACTTAGATCCTGGGAATCACGTATCTCCGTCTGCGTCTCTTTTTTTCAAACAAAAGTAAAATAGAATGTCGTGATTTTGCTTTTAAAAAAACAATAGATGAAATGTTTATATTTTATAACCATATTACATAAGGTTTTTATTCTTTTTGCCCAGGAATAGGAATTTTCATCGGGATGGTATTTTTTAGTTATTTAATAGAAGCACGAGAAAACCAAAAAAAAAAAAAACAAACAAACAAAAAAAAAAACCAAAAAAAAAAAAAAACCAAACCGAAACAAAAGTTATCTAATGACTTATGTAACTAAAAAAAACCCTTGATTTCAGTGTAACTTTAATGAATTGTTTTTATGCAGGATTAATTTTGACCATACCGTTTGAGGGGAAAAACACAAGTACCATCAAGGCTTATTACTGTCCAACAGAAGCAGTAAAGACGAAGCACAGGGGTGTCCTTTTGTAGAACTAGAATTACCTATTTTCGAAATGAAATTTGAATATAATAAACAGTATTCAAGCTCAAAAATCCAACTCAAATCTGGAGCAGATCAAACATGGACCTCTAAACATCAAAGGTGGGAGAAGGTACCATGGAGGAGTGAGCATTTCCTGTCGACATTTCACACCGGCTGTGTGCTCCTTGTCACGATCAGGAAAATGAAATACAGTGGTCCATAGGCAATTCAGTGTGTAAATAAAAGTATAACAATCAGTATGAAAAAACATTAGTCAGTTTGATGATAGATTGTATTTGTTGAAAAGATCATTGTATCGACCATGAGACTTGAGAAATTACTTGAAAGAAGACTATTAATATTCTTACTTCATCAACATGTTTGTCAGTAGCTTGCCTTGTTTTAGAAAATGTTCGTATCTACGTGGGTTTTGGAAATTAGGTCTTCCAACAATCTATTGGAATTCCCACCGATAAACATATGAAGCAGAATTCTTCAAAATCATTTACGTGAAAGGAAGAAAATACTGTTCGTTATCTCCATATCCTTCATTGTTGTGGCCTTTAACTCGACATTCAGATATACCGACGACGTATTGTCAATTAACAATAATTATTTCCATTCTCGGTGAGCTTGAAATAAAAGATACCAGAGGCTGACACATTTGTTTCATATTTGGATCTTTACGAGAGAAAACGTTAATGATTATCTTACAACAAAGCTTTGTGATAAACGTGCTGACTTTAACTTTTCAGTCGTCAACTCCCCTTACTTATGCAGCAATACACCTTTGTCACATGCATACGGAGTTTATATATGTCTCAGTTGATTCGATTTGAAAGAGCATGTTCTACATATGAGCAATTTCTAAAACGACGTAAGTTATTGACAAACAAGTTGATGAAGCAAAAAGTCTCATTTAAAATCGTTTCCGGTTCTATGGTCGACACAATGACCTTGTCAGCAAATAGAATTTTTCATTAAGTCAAATGCTGACTTAATTGTTTTTCATACTGATTGTTGGTCATTATTTACACACCAAGTTGTCGACAGATTTTTTCCCGTTATTTCTCGATCATCATGAGGAGCAAACGGCGGCTGTGGCCAGTTGGTAAGGGATGCTCACTCCTCCACGGCACCTGATCCCACCTCTGATGTTTTGGAGGTCCTTGTTTGCTAAGCTCCTATTTTGTACATTTTAATGGACTTTTGAGCTCGAATACTACCATTATCTCCACCTATTCCATCGTAAGTGAAGCAATCTCTCATGTATCATATCAACTGGGAAAAAATAAACTCCATACACAAGTGATAAGAGTATATTGGTATGTAGGTAAGGTAAGCTGACGATTGAAATGTTAAATTAATTTAACACGTTTATCATAAAGTTTAGTTGTAAGGTTACTATTAATGTTTCTTTTCTAGTAAAGATCCAAATATGAAACAAATGTGTCAGACTCTGTGGTATTTTTTTTTTATTTCAAATTCACTTAGATAAAACGTTGGTATATAAATCAAAGAAACTATAATTGTTAATTGATAATACAACGCCAATATATGTATCTAAATGGTGAGTTGAAGACCACCCAAGCGTGCGTTTTCTTCTTCTAAATAATAAGGTTTTAAATAAATCCTGCCTCATAGGAAAACAAAAACTAGTCTGCTGCTCACGGGACACAGTTGGTAACCATGAAAATTCTGGCCTGATCTCCAAAAAATAGAGATATTATCAAGAAGAAATTCAAGCATCTTTTCATTCTCAAACTTAGATAACTTGAGTGTACAATCAGAACAATTTTCAACACAGATAACTTTGCATATGACAAATGAATTGATAAATAAGTGTTATTGATGCAATTGTCTATGGTGTCAAAAACCCTAGACTGTAATTTATTCTTAGAAATCGTTACATTGTGTTGTACGTTTTAAATTCAATAATATTGATTTTAGTAAATTAAAATTTTGTTTTTTCAAATTTTCTAGAAGTTCTTCTAAGTTTTAAAGTATCCACATCTAATTAACACATCTTCTCGAACATATCGTTTTGTTAACTCATTTTTAAGGGAAAGCAAAAACAAGGTTATAGTTTTTTAACGGGAGAATGTTTAATTTGAATAACTTTTCTAAAACCTAATTTGGCTGGACTTAATCTGAGATAGTTGGACCTTAAAACGCAGTCCTACAAGGACATTTACTATTTTGCAATACATAGTGAAATATATGTAGATAGCAAACAGTGTTGAAACTCAAAGTCCATTAAACAATACAAAATTCGAGCAGAAAAAACACGGATGTCCAAAACATCAGAAGTGGATTCAGGTGTCATGGAGGAGTTTGTCAAATGGATCAATAAATACTAATTAGATTTATTCCCTTTACTGTTTGCAAGCTAGTTTTAAACAGACCAAACATTGTTTAAAAAAACAATAAGCTCCATGAACAGATTTCAAGCAAAACAACAATTTTAAATGTATACAACTAATGAGTAACCATCACTGATTCGAACTATATGTATCAGATGTGGGTTCTATAGAAGGTCACAGTTTCGCTAACATGTTAAACCCTGACAATAAGGGAATAAATGTCGTATCTGATGAAAGTTCTTCAAAAGCAAGATGAACACAACTGCATGGACGTTCGTTTTGCTTTAGAAAAAAAAAATATCAAATTTTCCCAAAGATATACCAAACGTTTTCGGAAGAGGCCTCTCCTGAAGGACTTCTTCACCTAAAGACCTCTAAAAACGAGTCTGAAGTAGAAAAATGGTCTCCTTCTACATAACCTGAACATAACCAGGTTTCACACTGTTCCATCAAAGATACTTTTTTTTCATAACTATATTCTTTTCGATCAAAAATACTCAAACTTTAAGTATAAATATATTTTATTGAGTTTACACGTTTAAAAATTCAACAATTTCATGTAAATTATATCACAGAGAAGCTAAAATACACGCTCTTTTTATCTGTTCACCTACTGTCGTACATGTAATTTGTACACTTATTTTCAGTGACAGAGAAAATAGTCCCTACTTGCGCTATACGTGTGTACTCTATACCACAAAAATACAATCTGTCATGCCATAGCTGCTAACAAAAAACCATCTTAATGATACAGAATTTATTGGGAAATACTAAATTTTAACGGATATGTTTTATGCCATTTGTTCATTATATAAGCAATTATATTTTGGAAGTTAATTATTATATTGGTTGTACTCCTTAGTATGAGCCAAATAATAAATGTTTCCGTTTAATACAATGAATTCTACCCGGTAACAGTATGCAGCTTTGCCATTTTGCTTTTAAGATTTACAGAGACTTTATACGTTGGGTTTCATACAGAAATAAAACTGTAATATTGGGATAATAAATTATTCTCTTCTCAAAATGGAAGATTGATAGAATATTCGTTGCAGGGATTTTTGAAAGTATACATTTTAAAACCTACGTATGAGCAGTCGTCTAGATATAGTGCTATATGATCATTAAGGCATCTAGATCATTCCATCAAATCAATGACGGATTTAGTTTTAAAATGAAATTGCAAAAAGCACTGTGGATTGGGATATAATACATTTGTAATGAGATGAAAGAAGTATTTTAGTGCATTAAGTCTGTAAAACTACAGCACTGTAAACGACTCATATTGAATGAACTATATCCAATAATCTGTAATGTTGAAAAGTTTCCTAGTAATAATGTCTTGAGTAATTAGTTATCCCTTTTGCGATGTCCATATGAAAATGAGGCAATGGTTCTACCAATGAGGCAATGTTTCTACCAAGTAGTTCTATATGGGTCTGAATCGGAGGAATGCACGCCAGATGACGACTGTCCATGTGTATTTGAATTTGCCTTTTGCTGTCGGACTTTCCAAAGAATATATGTTAACCTGGATTTCCACTTTGACCATCTACAAACAAAAACAAGAGAAGAATGCACACCTTGAAAGAAAGTGTCTCACTCGTTCATCGAAATGAACATAATTATTAACCTATCCACAACCAGTTTCATCCTTAAATTTGCTACCAGATTGTATGGTTATGTGGTTAGACTGATGTTCATTTAGATGTATAGATGAGACAACGTGAAAAATTATAACAGAAAAAACATGATAGATATAACTTATAGAAGATATTATGAATTCTATTTAAATCTTTAAATTTTCGATACTTACAGTAATTTGAAGAAATTAAGCTTATGGCTTAATATCATAATTCAAGTGAAATGAAAACTTAACTTGGATACATATGCATTCTACAACATTTGTCTTGCTGTACATATTGAAACGTAAAATATCAACAATCAGAAAATATCTACACACCAATACTACAGTCATACATCTGCTTGTATTAGATGTAATGAGTATAGCATTGCATGAAAACAACATAAAATGTCAAAAGCACAATAGCAACTACAAACAAACTAAATCATATAGACTGAAACGAAACAAAGATTTTAAAAGTTGAAATTTTCAGAATCTCATAATATATTACATCAGAAAAAAAAAAAAACAAGGAAGAGTAAAGTTTCATGCATTTTCACTAAAACATTAAAGTTTGCAAAAATAATCGTTTTAAATGACAATTATTCCATTTATAATTTGAAAACAAGCATCTAAGTTTCAATTAAATTTCAAAAAAGTAAATAATCAAAATGAAGTAAGATAGTAGAATTACAGTGAATGGTCAAAAGTGGATTCATGCAACATTAAGTTTGCTACGTTTAGAAAAATTCCTAGAAATTTTATGAGGTGATAATTGACGAACATTCTGTGACAACAATCAAGTGATGGGTTAAAGGGGGATGTTAAATGAGAGAAGGTCGGTTGTGGCTGATAGAAAACAATCAGACATGCATGCACAAGTTTTTCAAAACGTTCTTGAAAGAATGGAAAACGATTTATGTAATTTTACAACAATTTAACATCGAAACAATATTTAAAAATGGGGAATGAATATATTGAAGTAAAAATACAATATTTTAATGTAAAACAACATCAAGTATTTAGTGAACGGTTAAAATTTTATATACCTTCGCTGTGGGGAAAGAAGAGAAATAATTTTATTTTAAAAAATGCTCAGTGCATTGTGTATAAAAAACGGTTGACCCTCCTATAAAATATCTTAGCAACATCATAAAATCCCTCCTTACTTCTGTTCATCTGACAAAAAAGTCCACTTTTGAAATACAAAAGACAGATATTTAACAAAGAATTGAAATAACCTAAGAATCTAATTAATTTAAAGTTTGTTTTTTTTTTTTAACTATAACCTCTGGTCCTCGTCATTAATGTCTTGTATTGCTCCTTTTGCTGCTTATAATTATGCAAAATCATTGCTAAATTCAATCAAGAATACAACTATATATTTTTCAAAAATAATGCTTTAGATATATATCAAAATAAAATGTATTACTCCTTGCTTTATTTTATTAAAAAAAAAGAAAAACAAACAAAAAAAAAACCTTAAATTTGCTTTCAAAAGGCAAAGGAATTATATCATTTTTCTCATTTGTTTGTTTGTTTGTTTTTTTTATTAAATTTTGATAATACAATGTTCTTTTAAAATCTTACTCTTAAAATAATTTCAGGTCACGTACCTGTATGCATTTGCTACACTCCATTTATTAACATCATCTGCATTTCCTCGACCTTTTACGAAATTTTTTCCAAGTGGTTTTTTCACTAAAGGTTCTAGTGCAGTTCTTAAAATTGCAATTTCATCTTGTAATTTTTGAATTTCCTCCTGGCGCTAAATGCAAGGAAATAAGTGAAGACAAGATTTGATTAGAAACACCACCAAATACATTGTAGTACATGCTTTAGAATTAGGGAAAAAAAAGAAATGTTAGATAACATGGTCAGTTTTGTTAAAATCTGAAGAGTGAAAAAGAATGATTAAGTTGGCTAGCAATATTCCAAGGAATGACCCTTTCAAAGAGTTTTATTTAGGGATTCAAATGAAAAGTATGGCTAACTTGTAAGAGCCAAAATATGCATTAGATTAGCAAAACTCTTTATCAAATCATTCCTTGCAATAAAAAAATGTTTTTTCTTTAGGAAAAGCAGTTAGCATGCGCAGCACCAACAGACTACAGGATAGGATTATAGGACTGGTTATTGGCAAGTGGTAACATATAGGATTAGTGGGAACATGCATGAGAGTTGTTAGCCCCTAGCCTCCTCCTGCAGGACTCAACACTACAAGCCGTAACATACCACTACGACAGTCTACACATCTGCTAAACTGTTGGCTGTCTGATCTCCATTTTGTGTTGGCTGGTTTCCTTCTTGGTTGTTGGCTTGGTTTCCATCCCGGTTAGTATTGCTGCCATCTTTACCAGTAGATGGAGCTGGACTCTTTTTTCGGCTTGTGTTAGGTGTTACATTTCTAGAAGGTTGTGTTGGTGTGTTATTGCGTGATTGAGTGGGGGTGGCATTTCTACTCTTAGAGGGTGTTACTGTTCGGCTATTGGCTGGAGTTTTTGCCTTACCCCCTTTGCTAGGAGAGACTGGGGTCTTTCTACTTGTTTCCCCACCTTCTGGAATTGTCCCCATTTGTGTGTTGTTGTCTTTCCCATCATCCCTAGATGTAGTTGGGTATTGGTCTGCACTAGAACTAGGGTTTTTACTAGAGCTAGTATGGGGTGTGGGGTCATCCCATGACCCTAGGCCAGTGTCAAGGTCATTTTCTTGACGATAATCAGGCTGGCCAGTATAGATGTTGCCCATGCCAACATTTGCTTTGAGTTGATTCACCTGAACCTGAAGGTTCTCTAATCCTGATACTCTCTGTAAAGCACAACATACAAAAGCTGTGACAACATCGAATCTATCTAAAGGTGCTCAAAATAATCAATCATGCATAATCACTGATTTTGCCTCATGATTTCATTAATATGTTCCAAAATGATTTTACTGTTCATGGTAATACAATAGTGTCTGAATACTTTTGTTCTGTTTTTAAGCTAATGTGCTTTATTTTGCAATTTATGCATCATTGCCTTTTGTGAAGATTTTATAGTCTTTTCCTTTGTAAAGAATTTTCTGGGATAAAACATTATTTTTATGACTTAAGATGTGAAAATCATTTTATTTTTTTCATGGTATAGCCAAAAGTAATTGAATGCAAAACACTAACTACTCAAAGCAGAATAACATTTTTTTTAAGTTTTAGTTTGCTCTGATATACATGTATATGTAGGCTTGCATTTAAAAATTTATTTTGTGTGCATTGATATATTTGGTGCTAAAAAAAGACAACAATTTTGAATCAAGTAGGCAATATTTCCTTTAAAACAAAATTTCAAATAGAAAAAAATCAGATAACAAAAGAAATGAAACAGGGAAAAAAACAATAATCTGAGATGCTTTGAAAACAAAACATTTACCACACAACAAATACTGGGGTTTATCTAAACACTTAAACAGATCATTGTTCTAAATAAAGTATGCAAATAACATTACATGATTAACAATTTATGAATACTTTTGATTCATTTTCTGCAAATAAACTTCATGAAAATGTTATACTAACATTGGCTAATAATTATTACCACATCTTTAGATCTATATCTTTCCAATGTAACCAAGTAAAATATCATGTTACATGACTGTCAATATATCAGGGTACAGTCCATGCCTGTGTGGACTGTATGTTTGATTATGTTTATAATGTGATATAAAGGACCTACCAGTTTCTGCTCTGACTGTATCTTCATTCCCAGCACAGTCTTCACCGTCTGAATGGAGTCGGCCAACTTACGAACACTGCCCTGAACCTAAATATCAGAGCAAAATGGCTATGAAAATAATAAACTGAAACTATCTTCTAGTATTCACCTTTTTCTGTAATAAAAATGAAATGACATTTGACATTTCTTGTATTCATTATCTGATTTCCTAGCTGAATTTATCTACTTGTGTTACATTTCTCTCTAACTTTTTATGAATCTCCATTTAATTATACCACACTAATAAATGTATCAATCAAAAGTCGTGTAGTGTAACATAAATGTGAAGAGAAAACTCAGTGAAAATAAAATATAAACAATATATGATTTTTGAAGTTTTTCAAGAATCTACAAATCATATATATATCTCTATCCAGAAATACTAAAAATCAACAACAAATCAACAACAAAAATTTTTGAATATTCATTTTAACATAAGTAATTAAAGAAAGATTATGAGGCTCACCTGCACGAATATTATAAAGAACTAAGGCAAAGTCCCACACAAAGTGAATAATTTGTGAAGTGTGCATCTTTAGATGCATCATCTTAATACAAGTTTGGTCACCACAGGACTTGCAGTTATTTTAGAGTAATTATAAGCTTGCTACGAAAACGACAATTTGGTCACTCATCTAAAGATGTAGTCAGATCCATCGTCTGAAGCAATGAAAGAAAAAGTGAGCAAGCTCACATACCCCACGCTTCCCCAAAAGTCAAAGTGCTGAAAATCCCGGAAAAAATAAAGGAATCGGAATTTCCCGGTAATATGCACATCTATACATTGTGTCCTAAATATCTTCAAAGTTTGACGAAATTCTGTGAAGCGATTTATGAGGAGTTGCACTGACAAACTGTTCATTGCTATATCCAAGGTATGGCCAAAAATCTAAGTTGAAAAGTGTGGAAATTCCCAGAAAAAAAAGGATTCAGAATTTCCTGGTAATATGCACATCTATACATTGTGTCCTAAATATCTGCAAAGTTTGACGAAATTCTGTGCAGCGGTTTATGAGGAGTTGCACTGACAAAATGTTCATCTCTATATCCAAGGTATGGCCAAAAATCTAAGTTGAAAAGTGCCGAAATTCCCAGAAAAATAAAGGAATCGGAATTTCCTGGTAACATGCACATCTACATATTGTGTCCTAAATATCTTCAAAGTTT